ACAATTAATTCCCATCAATAGCATTTAGCTACTGCTTCCTCCTTTAAAAAACATGTCAAGTTCTCCTGAACTGCTTACAAGCTTTAAGGCAAACATTAGCAGTCACTCTAGTCTGGTGCTTAAAATAAACATTAGCAGTTACTCAGAAGTGCCATTTACAAGACCCCTCAGGTTTCAGTCTCAATTCTGACTTGAAGATCTCCTTACCAAAAAATGCGTGCTCTAAGCAAGAAACAAGTGTACATAATTTTGAGTAATATATTCTTTTTTTTTTCTTTAAGGTACAAACTGTACAAAAAAACCCGCCAATTTCAAATTCAATTTACTGTACTCCATAAATGCCAAGTATCCGCAAGAAACAAGTGTACATAATTTCGAGTAATATATTCTTTTTTTTAAGGTACAAACTGTACAAAAGAACGCACCAATTTCAAATTCAATTTACTGTACTCCATAAATGCCAAGTATCTCCCATGTAGCTTAAAGCCTCCAAAGTTACAGGTTCTGTCTTATTGCTTCTGAGAAGGCAGAACATGAAAACCCTGTTGAAGAACAGCGAGGTCCCAAGTTTCCTTCACAACACAGAACTGTGCAGGGTGCAGAACTAAATTTCATGCCAAAGTACAATACACAGTGGAGTGAGGATTCCTCCTTGCAATATTGCATTCTGTGAACTTCTGTGAAGGAAACTAATAGTCGTCAGCACTTCTACCAGAAATTAATATCAGAGAAACACAGTAGGCACAAGTAGAAAACCATTTACCAGTTATGAGCAAAGAAACAAAGCTAAAAATAAAGCAGAAATAGCATGGCTAATTTGTTACTTGTTAACTACAGACTATCAAATTTTGTAACATCTTTAGGATATTGGGTAAGGTTTTGGGGCAACAGAGTAAGACTCATCTCTATAATAAGCAAGTTATAATAGCATATGAATGTGTCCAAAAACCATATTACAAAGGTTATTTGGTTGGGGTTCTTTTCTTTAAAGCAAAGTCTTGCAAAGTAACCAAATCAAGATGGACTGATATCTGCCACTGCTTTCTTCATTAAGGTAATTTTCTACTCTGAAATTTTTACCTTCAGGTAACACATAAATTTTCCAGTACCATGTATTGAAAACTGCTTAGGCTGAGGAGGTGCAGTAGCTACACATTTAGTTTGGCATCAAGGAGTGTCTTCTTTACCATACCATGACAATTTTTGACTTGTACAGACTTGCTCCTACCACTCCAAGTGGGCACCATTCAAGTCTGGCTTTCCACAGTAGTCATGGCAGTTTACCCAATGACCCTTGCAAACTCTTTGTTAGTGTTAGTGCTTTCACTCACTTGGCCTGTCCAATTTTCTCACCTGATGAAATTTTCTTTCTGTACTTAACTTACTGTAGAATAATAATGCATGCCCGTACAAAAGCCAATGTAAACTGAGGCTACTTTATGAAACTTCACAGTGCATGTTCATGACTAAACAATAAAACTATGAGCCAGAGTAGGCATTTCATGAACCATGCTCTTCAGGAATCATATACATTTTTTTACCTTTTTTATTACAGCAAAGAAAAATCAACCAGAAGTTCACAGTAACTGTTGAAATATTATATACATTAAAAATGGGGGTCATATGTTACCATGACATTGGTTCCAAGGCACTGAAGTCTATTTATTAAAAAAACTAAATTTGCAGTCCTGATGGCATAATTTGATCTTTAGGTTACTGACTTAATTCACTTTCAACAACAGTTCTATTAGTAAACTCCTCCAAAAACAGACACCCAAGGGTTTTTCCTCTGTCACAGAAACCCAATTCCACACTTCACTATAAACTTAAGATATTTCTCTAATATTGAAGAAAGCTGAATTAACTATTTAATAAAAAAAATGCTCACATCATCTTGTGAATGCACTTACACTTTACACTTACACTTTAGTCTTCATTTCTGCAACCAAGTTTTCCAACTGCATTACTAAAAGAGTAAGGAAGACAGCTTGCACACTTAAATGTTTGAGGCAAAGCTAGTGGCATTAGTGACTGATGAGCTTTACTAAAATCAGTGAAACAAACTAGCAGAAGATTATACCTGGGTATGGAAATGCAGTGTACAGCTGCTGCAACAGGTTATTCAACACCTAAGCATCTTCACTGCTTCAATATAGAAAAAAAACTACTTCATCTTTAGGCTGCATTCAAAGAGGCTCTATAGCTAAATTTGATGTCAATTCCATTGTTAGCTACAAAGTTCTGCTATTTACTGAGGCAAATCACTGAAGAATTGCAGGAATGGCCTGCACTAAGTTTTTACTCCCACAAAGGACACTGCACAGGAGTGCCCATAAACACTCCCTGTAGCCACTGCTATCACAACTCTACTCCCAATATGGGCCAGAGATCCCCTATGGGCACTTGGGGCTCTGAAGTGACACTGCACTTAACATCCTTAATGACAGATCAGGGCTAGGCAATCATTTGTAAGTTGTGTGCAGACACTTATTAAAACCTTCAGATAAAGCACTGGTATCGTCATCTAAAAATCACAGAAAAGCATTATAAAATGAGTGGCATCATTAAGAACCTCAGTTGTGTATGACTAAGGCAGATCTGTGAATTCACCATGAACTTGGAAACAGTTCATTGCATCTAGCTCTACAATTAGACAGAAGATTAATTCTTCTTCATAAATTTTAATGCTGTTGTATGAACATAACAAAATTCTTCAGCAATAATAGGATTTGGCACACAATCCTAACAGTAGTTAACCCCAGCAACTGGAAGACCTTTCGGACATCTCTTTTTTCCATGTCTTCCTGAACCAACCTGATGCTCTCAGCTAGAAGCCCATTTAACTACTTTACTTAGCTTCTACCTCAAAAAGCCTGCTAATGGAAAGGCAGAGGAAGCAGGTACTTGCAGAAACAATATCAGAATACCATGAACCCAGAAGACCCTCACCAATACAAACACTAAGGACCAGCTAGGGGAGTTTCCCCTTGTGAGAGCCACACCATGCAGGGGTAGACCACCATCTAAATAAGCCTGAGCAATCTCTTTATTTTACACAATAAAAACGCTGGTTCATTATTCCTAAATTACATCCACAAAACAAACCTGAACATCATCATAATTTATATAAGTAGATATTATAGGCAAAGCAGTCTTCAGTGTTTGGGCTACTATCTCCATCAACAGCACTAGGGAGTTTTTACACTGTATGAATTCCAGCCATAAGCCTCATAGGATAAGCAGAAGTTTGAGCAGAATGATTCGGCTCTGCCCAGCAGAGAGCAGTTTGGCAAACACATTTCAATGAGCACCATGTACTTTAAGTTTGGTTTGGAGTTTTGTAGGGTTGGTGTTTGGTACTTTTTATATTAAGTTTAGAAGAGAACTTTAATAAACTTGTCATTTTGCTCTTTTCTGATATATAACTTCCACAACATTCAAGAAGAAACTGTTTTCTGAGACACTGGAGTCTTGCTGAAATTATGCAACCCAGCCCTCACAGGGAAAAACCAAAACACCGAAAAGTGCATGAGATGATTCTCACAACTCAATCTCCACAACACCCCCTCCCCTCCAAGTCTCACATTTATCTCACTCCTGTGTGAATATTGCATGTACTCCTCCTCAAATGATCAAATTAAAACAAGAATGCCAGAGGACAATTCAAGCCAGGTAACATGATATCTTTCTGCTTTTCACACCTTGAGCCTTAAAACAAAGAATGGTCTTCACCTGAACCTTCACCTTTAATCAACTAATGGAAGAATAAAACCAAACCAAAATTTTCTATTTCAGGACAGAAATCCCAAAATATTATGACTCTTATGACTGTGCTACCAGTTGACAACTGGAGACTACTTCCAGGGAAGGATGCTACTTATACCAGAGTGCTCAAACAAAAAACAGAATAACTACTTTCAGTGAACTCATCATACCCAAATATTATCTTAAATTTAAAAATTAAAAAATAAAAAAAAAACCCCAAGCAATACTTTTCCACGGTCACCCAGACCTCTTACAAATATCAACCATCTATTGAACTTAATTTCAGGAAAACTATGTCACACAATGCACCAGAAGAAAGACTTCTTTCAGGGATACAGTTAGTCACAGTCTCTCAGACCATACTTAAAAGACATCATGTTTGTTTTCCCAGTAGTTCCTTGGTTTCCATACAGCAAGTGGAAAAGAAAAGCACAGAGACAAAAAACATGTCTGTAAAAAGCAGATGTCTATGTTACATACATTTGCTGCTGTATCTATCAACAGACTACTTATGTTTTGGGTTTGGAAGAGATGCTTTTTTTTTTTTGTATTGCACAATACATATTCTATCTATACCTAGCAAAAGAGATTCCTACAGGTAAAAATACCATTAAAATTGCACAGATTTGCTGTATTTCTTTTTGTGCTAACCATTAATGTAAAATGAACCTACAGTTTCTTCTTAACTGGGAGACAACAGGATACAGGTTTTACTGATGAAACAATACTTTTGTATGTTTATGAATCAAAGAAAGCCAAGAGATAAACAAAAAAACACTGATGCCTTTTAAATGGTAAAAAGACTAAGCTTATGCCTCTAGGACACTCACATTAGAAAGGCAGACTTCAGTACAGTATTTTTGCTGGTTTTAAACAAAGACAGGAATTTTACTAAAACTACTTTTCCATCCAACCTATTGTAAAGAAACTGCTACTTGACAGCTTACAGGGAACAATGACTGCCGGTAGGAGCAGGCTGCACTCATTTAAATGAGCACATTAAAACCCCCTGACACAGTCTGTAACTTCCTTCAGTTATTTATTTGACTCTTGCAGCAGGCTCCTCGTCCTGCGAGGCTGAGGTGCTGCTCTCGCAGCATCCCCGCAGTGTGCTACAGCTGCACCCCTGAGCGCTCCGCAGCGCTCCAGCAGCGCCGCATCCCGCTCCGCAGCCAAGCGCACTGCCTGCCGCCGGCACATCACCCTGTCCCAGCAAACTGAGACCTTCCTCTTACCTCCACCTCCTTGCTCTTCTCTTTGTTTGTGCCCATTGAACTTCTCCCATTGCTGGCAGTCTCCCGCGCTGGAACTACAGAAATCTGCTGGAGTGGCATTCTTACAGAGCTGCAGGTTGCCAGTACCTGTTTGGATGCCTTATATCTTCACTCCCCCCGAGTAGCCCACCTGTATAATTGTTCATATCCTCTCTTTGCCAAGCTCAGCTCTAAATAAAAAGGGGAAAATATTATTTGAGAAACGGTGTAGCCAGGGTCTTCCATCAAAAGAAAAAAAAAATCAACAAAGCAGAGCAAATTGCGAACACAAGCAAGACACAGCAAACAAAGAAGTAAGGCACAACAATCCAGGGAGTTTCACATGCTTAGTGATGAGTTGCTGCAAGTCTGTGTCCCTGGAGCACCCCACCATACCACTATCCCCCAAGAGCACTGTGGGAGACAATTCAATTTCTGTTACCTAATAAGTGTCATGGAAACCAAGGAAACCCAGGTCTCGCAGGCCCTTATTAGCAGCCGCTTCCCGCTACCGGCACCGGCTCCCACATTTGCAGCAGCTGCCGGTGGTGCTTTTGTCTCCCATGCGATCCCACAGGAGCCCTCTGAGCACCCCAGACGCTGCCTCGTGCCCGCTAGGTGCGGCAGCAGAAGGCTGAAAAGCTTAGTGTCCTATTTTGGAGGCAAAATCTCCTCCTTTAAAAGCACAGGAGAGCTTGCTGTGTCCTTCATGCGTCTACAATAATCTGCTTAGGTCAAAGGATCTGCCTTGAAGTGAGGAGTAGCGGTGAGCAAGCGAGGTGTAAAAAGGAAGACAAGACTGGGAGGGATTGCAAACGCGCCTTTCCGTGGTTGATAGTAAAAAGTTAACCCTTTGCTGCGCTTATCTCTGCCCAGAAGCCAGCTCAGCAGGATGAGCCAGAGGCAGACACACACATGCCTTTGTAGTAGTCATACACACGCCGAGAACGTCACTTATGTGAGCTTCTCCCTCCCAACAGCTTCAGTGCTCTCAGTCACTGCGGAGCCAAACACTCGGGAAAACTGCTTCAGCATTTCCCCTCCCCTCAATATGCAAAACAATAGAAGAAAGTCCCAGGTGTTGTATTACAAAAATGGATATGAAGAAAGGAAACTCCTATCATCTATGCTTCTTTAAAAAAATGATTATTCTTCATAAGTATTATGAATACCAGCAAAACTGATTTGTGATTAAAAATGGTAAAGAAATTATTAGATCAGAAGTCAAATTCTTAGCCATGTAGAGTATTCTGTATAAATAATGCGGGAATGAAAGAAAACAACAATCCCACACCAGTCACCACCAATGTTTTAATATGCTGTCAATTAAAGAAAAAAATATTACCCAAGCCCTGAAATACATCATCTTTATTTCCAGCTGCACAGAGTGGCACTTAGAATTCTGACAAGAAATAATAGCATTATAAACAGCCTGGATTCTCTTACAAAGCCAGTAGGGAGGATTTAAAATACTGTTGATTCACTACTCCACTACTTTAGTTACTATTTCTCTGTCTGAGTTAATACTTACAAGAGACTAGCCTGAGATAAATTCAGATTGGGTCCAGGTTGCCATCCTGGTTTTACATCATTGATTTAAACTAAGGTATATTGACTGGCTGTAAGAGAAGAGTTTATCATTGCATTAACAACGAAACAATCTGCTACGAGTTCAGAGATGCTGCGAAATTTGAATGTATGTGCACATCTTTATAACATATATTCTGTATATCTATAGTCATGGAACAGATTTACAAATACTAAAATTAAGTCTATTGTCATTTACACATCTTCTTCTACACATTTTTAGTTATGCTTTACATGCTAATTTCATTTTTAATTTCCAATATTCCAAAATAAATTTGAATGTAAGTTTAAATAACTTCTAATGTACACAGGGAGATTTTGAATATAAATAAAGGAAAAAAAGACATACTCCAGCTCTACGAAGACAGTGGTAAATCAAAAATTTATTCCAGAAATATTCAAAGACAAGAAATGTTATATACCAGGCTAGTAAAGTTTAACTTCAATCTTAAACTTCACACAGACACAGAATAATGAACTTAATTCTAATGTAAAGGAAAATCCTTTTTAGTTTAATAGAATGTTTTAAAGCTACAGAGAAACTTTTTCCTTTCCTCTGAGGCACAACTAGATTAAGAATTCCTAAACTTGACTCTGCTTTGTCATGATAATCACTCACCTCTTTGATCAAAATATTGATAGAAAAGTAGAGGGTTTGTGGTATTAAAATGGAATCTTCCTGTAAATGTCTAGTTAAGCTTAAAAAAGTCTAGTTAAGCTTAAAAAAGTCAACCTGCCTTTTGATACTGTGCCAATAATTCTGCATTTGAAATCATATGAACCTGATATTTACATCAGAGATTTCTGGGTTAACCAGTAATCTTTTTAACCCCATCTATGCCTGTTTTAGCCAGAAAAAAGACCTTACAGGGTGTGATGTACTTAGTTCTTTCTAAAATGATGCATGGCCTCTTTTTTCCCCCCACAGGGAACCTATAACATCAATGTATACATAACAAAACTAGTTCCAAACAAGGGCTGTATTTTAACATTGGGTAGGTTCATGCTTGCATTCTGCTTAACTATTTCACTAATTACAATTCTTCACCATGTGGAGACTTCACATTAATGTGCAATTGCCTTCCCTGTACATATGCTGAACATGGCTCTTCTCAGACTAAATGCTAAAACAAGTGGCAGAACAACCAAGCCCCATGCTGCTATACCTAGAAATACAGAGATCACCACTGCTCCATGGTAAGGAAGCTGTTAGAAAATACAGGACATATCCAGATGCATATTGTAGAAGTTAGTGGCAGAGGTGTGGTGGGATCATTTTTCATTAGAATTAAGTTTAATTTTCCATCTTGGCTTTTTCAAGTTTACTATGACAAAATTATAAAACATTAGCTTTTGCACAGATGTTAATACACCTATGATCTCAGAACACCAGGCACATCTTAAAGAAACAGCAAAACTATTGATTTCAATTTATAACGTGTTTTTAGATCCCAGAGTCCCTAAGTCATAAACAAAGTGATTTTATATATACACACACAACCCTTCTTGTTAGAAAATGTGTTTACTTCCACTCATCCTCCATGGTGAACAGGCTGTGGTGTCCTATTTAAAGAACACTAATTTTGGCACTTGTGCCACCCAAAGAGTCATAATTTTAGAGCCATGCCTCACCTGAAGGACAGTGTGACAGCTGCTCAGTGAAGTATGAAGCTGCTGTGCAAAGCAGCATGATAGGGTTTCTCGGGAGGGTAACAATAACAAAAGAGAAGTGCTCACCTGGAGCAGGTGAAAATGACATTGGTCGTTGGGTTCAGTGTGCATTAGTCATTGATTTACATTAATATAATTCACAGGTCTCGAAGCAAGTAACTACAGAAAAGCAAAGTACCACCTCCCCCTCCTCTCACTGAAACCCTACTAATCCCAACTCAGATAAGCCAAGGAATCCAAACCTGTATTTTCAGTCACCCAAAACATTCCCCTTGGTACTCAGGACCCATACATTCCCTGCACAAAACACTCCTTGAGCCACTTCCATAAGAATCTGACAGCAAAAAGGGATCAGAATTACAACCCTACGCAGACACAATGTTTTTTGTTTAATTTAATAAGGAGCACATCATCTTCTCAGCATACCCATTTATGCAGGACTATTGCTTTGAACTATGAACACAATCTGATCAGCTATGGTTAATGGTTTCAAATATGGTATGCAAGTGCCAATGAGAGAAAGAAAAACAGCAATACAATTCTTTTGCAACACAATTGCAAGGAAACAATGTACTAGTGTAGTGGCAGTTCACTGGCTGCTTATATATAATAGCCCTGCCATGGCTTACAGAAAAATTTGTACAAGACTCTTGAATTGAAAAAAAAACATATTAAGTTTACCTGCATAATAACACTATCAGAAACAGGTAATTCCAGCTCTTTTTTACTCACATAAAATCATCTTTAGATAAGATGTACTGCAGCTTTTATATGATCTTTCAATTTTATATGACATTGACATTTAAAAAACATCATTGTGGGCATAAAACAGAAGTTGGTTGTTTGGACTCCACCTTATTTGTCAAATACACAATACACAAAAAGGTATAGACATATACGTTGTAGTCCTGAGATTTAGGAATGACTTTCACTTTCCCCAAAAATAACATAGAAGAGCTACAAACACTGTGCATGCTATGCTTCCTTTACCAACAGGAATTGCTTCTCTTGTAATCACAACTGAGGTGTAGAGACAAACATCTGAACTCTACAGCAGTGTGGAAGCAGATGGATACGAGGAGGTAATCAACTGGCATGAGTACAGTCACTTTATCTAGCAGAAGGTCCTAACACCAAAATTAAAAGTGCAACTAGCAGTAGTCTAATGCAAACCAAACAGGACTGTTGTAAACCAATCCCTTGGGCTTCCATAGCATCTTGAAGCTGACATTAGAACCAAATAAAGTTTTCAGATAAATGAAAAATTCCTTTCGATTTTCTCCCAAGCCTTAAGCCTACAGGAGCACAAAGTTAGCCATGGAATTAGGGCAAATATGAAAGACATCTTTAGCCAAACACAAGTATTCCAAAGCAGCAGATTCCAGATGGGAATGGGAAAACCTGTTGTTCTCTGCTATATGAATATGTCCTAAATACTGTGCTGTACTGTGGGTTGGTGTCAAATGGAGGACCATGGAGGACCAGCAGGAATGCAAGTTTTCAGGAGAATTCATGTTCAAGAGAGTCATTAGCAGAAGCAAAATTTAAAAGTTGTTTTAAAAAAATGAATAGAATTTGCATTCTTCACAAATAAGACTGGCTGTGAGATATCATATTAGAAGTTGCTTTTCAAATGCCACATGAAGTTGGTACAGACTGGAATGCAGCCATCATGTTACTAGATCCTCAGGGAGGTTTTGGCAGCTTTATTCCTTGCCTCCTTCAGCTTTGCAATTGACTGAACTGCTGAGAAGTACCATATAACGTAATACGGTGCATTAGAGCAACAGAGGTGTATTAAAGGTATTAAGGAAGCAATCAACCAAAAATTTCAAACTAATGTCTTTGGATATTTTTCTACGTTGCCATTCACAGGATATTGTACATTATTACACATAATTTCATCAACAGCATCATTAAGCACAGGTGATCT